AGTTTGTAATAGCTAAAACTTGGAAACAGCCCAAATGCCCATCAACTGGAGACTGGATAAAGAAAATGTGGGATTTTAAAAAATAAAATGGAGTACTACTCAGCCGTAAAAAAAGAGAAAATAGAGATATTTATAGCTAAGTGGATGGACATTGAGGCAATACTCTTAAGTGAAAGAAATAGGACACACATGTATAAATACCGAATAGTTTCTCTAGTGTGAGAAACTGAATGGGTAAATAAGGACTAAAAGTTATAATAGATAATGTGAAATAGGAAGAAAAGGGCCAAAGGGGAAGTAGGAGGGGTAGGGGAAAGGAAAGAAGGGAATGGAATTAATATGAGAAAATGAAAAAAATGGAGCAAAATCTTTGTAAATAGGGAGGGATGGAGGGGTTGGAGGGAGGGGAGGGGAAAGGGGAAAAAATAAGAACCAAGAAAGATTATGTAAAGGTGCAAATTTCCAATCATGAATGTCATTATATTGTATACCTAAAATGGACCAGTAAAATTAATTTAAAAAAATAAAACTATCAATTCCATTTGACCCAGCTATTCTCCCTCTATGTATCTTCCTGAAAGTGTTAAAGACATCATATTATAGTGATATATGTATATTCATGTTCATGGCAGCACAATTCATAATAGCTAACTCTTGGAAGTAGCCTATATGTCCATCAATAGATGAATGGATAAAGAAAATATGATATTTACACACAATAGAATACTACTGTGCCATAAAGAAACTTGGATCATTTTTAGGAAAATGGCTGCACCATAGGACTATAATGTTAAGTGAAATAAGTCAGATACACAAGGATAAATAATGCATGGTTTGTCTTATATGAGAAACCCAAATTACAAATAAAAAGCAAACTAAAAGATAGATAATTGGAAGTAGGTATATAGATCTTTATCAAATGGGAGGGGGATCAATAGATGGAGGGAGGGAGGAGAGAAGGAAGGGAAAGAGGATTAGAAAAAGAAGATGAGTTACATACAAGTGCCAACTCTACAGAAATGCAAACAGTATATACTGCAAACATGTCCTAATAAAGTAAAAATATTTCATAAAATGGGTTTGAGTCATACATTATCACCATTATTAATATTATTACTGGATTTTCTGTAGTATAATATTATAGCCTTAATGTTTGCATTACTCCCAAATTTATTGCAGCCCAGTCCCCAAGGTAATGATGTGGAGGTGGGGACTTCGGGAGATAAATTGGTGAGGAAGTTGGAGTGCACACGAATGGGATTAATTCTTTTATAAGGAGACACCAAAGCGAGCTTACTTCCTCTTCACCTGCTCTCAGCCAGGTGAGGATATGGTGAGAAACAGTTATCTAAAACCAGGAAGAGGGCCCTCACCAGACATTGGACCTTCTATACCTTGATATCCTCACCTTCAGAACTAGAAGAAACACTTATTATTTAAGCCACCCAGTCTATGCTATGTTTGTTATAGCAGCCTGCACTAAGATAAAAGATGTTACAAAGCTCTTTCTTTGTGATGGTCTACACTCATAAGCATAAAGTGGAAAATGCTGGTTTTGTGTTTGCTTTTAATGAACATTTCATGGTGGGAAGCACTGTTATGCATTTGAATTTAAACCAGATGGAGGATGTTGATTGTTATGTGAAACACCATGGCAAAAATTGAACTCTATTTATTACATGTGTTAGGAGTATTTGAGAAAGCCATCCATAAACTAGAGAAAATTTTTACAGTTCAGCAGTGAGGCTCTGAAGACTTATTGGACTAGATTTTAATTGTGGCTTCCTTTTCAGTTTGACAAATCCATTTAACCTCTTTATGCTTCAGTTTTCATCACTAAAAAATGGAAATAAATATAGCACCAACTTTATACAGCTGTTTAAAGGTGAATGGAAAAATCAGATAAATTCCTGTTAAATAGTGCACATTTAATACAATGGACCCTCGAGTTATGACCAGCCTTACATATAAACAACTTGGGTTATGAACAGAATTTTAATTTTAACTTAATACCAGAATCTTGAGTTATGACCTGAATGCCGGCCGCTTATGCTTCCAGATGGCCTCAGATACAGATTTAACCCTTCAAGAGTTCTGGAAGGAATATTACAACATCCTTTCCTATGTGGGGTTAATTGAGAAATCCTGGGCCAATTGTCTCTCTAAGGACACTGAGATCTGCCTGTATACAGGAGAGACTTTGAAGGCTGTGTGGAGGAGCCTGAGCCTTCAATCAACCAACCTGAGTTACAATCAGCCCTTGAGAACAAACTGAGTTCGTAAGTCAAGGGTCCACTGTAAATGTATCTTTAAAGACAAATTTAAAAGGTGTTGCTGATTTTTCATTCTCTCTCTCTTTTTTTTAGTACAACAATTTAATGAGTACTTTACTAATTTAACTCCAACTCTCTTTAGTTGGTGTACTAGTCAGCATTATCCTGAAACAGAACCAAAAGAATATAACCTGCAAAAGAGTTGTGTGCATATCTCACATAAACCAGTATAATAAATTTATTTTAAGAAATTTGCTCACATGATTAAGGAGACTGCTAAGTCTCAAGATCTGCTAGAGAGAAAGGAGATCTGATGGCACAGTTCTGGCTCAAATCTGAAGGCCTGAGAACCAGAAGAACGTATGGTATAGTTCTATTCTCAAAACAAGGGGAAAAATGATGTTCCAGCTCAGAGACATCAGATGGGAGGAGTTCCCCCTTTTTCTAGGGAGGATCAGATTTTTCATTCAAATCAGCCTTCAACTGATGGATGAGGCCCACACACATTAAGGATGGCAATCTGCTTTACTTAGTCTATGGATTCAAATGTTAATCTCATCCAGTACCCCCTTATGGATATACCAAGAACAATATTTAACTGACTATCTGAGCACCTAAAATGGACAGAGTTGATACATAAAATTAATCATCACAATTGGACATAGTCTTCTACCATCATCAACCTCCAACCACCTCTCTCTGTAGTTGTGAATCTGCTATTGAGCTCCCCCCTGCAGGATTTATATTTCTGGATTTGTTGAAGTGTCAAAGCGGGTATTTTTTATGGAGCCCATGAGCCTACCAGCCACTTCTCAGCCCACATCCTTTAGGTGAGTTGACTGTAGTCTTCACCAAAACAGTCACTATATAAATTATGACATCACATTATAGATTTTACAATTAACCTTGGAATTTTAATCCAGATGTCACAGGAGTCATGATTCCATAATTGCTGAGGTGATAGTGGCAACTCACTTGCTCTCAAATCCAATCACAAGAAAAAGAAAAGTCTTAACTTCTGGAGGTTCCTACGTATGAGTATTTTTTCGTGAGCTTGATTAGGCTTTCACCTAGCATTTAAGATTCAGAGTATAAACTGTCCTAAGCTGTTCCCAAATCTAAACAGATAAGGATTAGAAAAATCAACTTCTATACATTTGAAGTCAGTTCAGTAAGTGAAACCTGGGCTGGGACTGTGCCTGAGCGATTTAACTCCAACCATAAACGGGTTTAATCTTTGGCACATGGAAAGCCAATTTTCTCAGCACCATTTACTAAAGAGGCTATCTTTCTTCCGGTGAAGATGTTTGGCCCATTTGTCAAAGATAAGGTAGTTGTGTGTGTTGGGAGTTATTTATATATCTTCTATTCTGTTTCATTGATCTTTGGGGGTCTGAGTTTCTGTTTGCTTGTTTTTTGGTGGGTTTTTTGTTGTTGTTGTTGTTGTTGTTGCCAGTATCATGCTGTTTTTATCATGGTAGCTTTCTAGTATAATTTCAAGTTAGGGATTGTGAGGCCCCTGCTTTGCCTTTGTTGTACAGAATTGCTTTCACTATTCTAGGTGTCTTCTGGTTCCAGATAAATTTTGGGATTGTTTTCTCTAGTCCTGTGAGGTATGTTATTGGGTTTTTTTTTGGGTTTTTTTTGGTACCAGGGATCGAACTTGGGTCCTTCTGCTTGCGAGGCAGGCGGCGGAACCACTGAGCTAAATCCCCAGCCCTGCTATTGGTATTTTGATCAGGATTGCATTAAATCTTTATAATAGTTTAGAAAGTATGGCCATTTTCATTATATTGTTTCTGTCTCTCCAAGAACAAGGGGTATTTTTCCATTTTCTGATAGCCTCTTTAATCTCCATTTTTTGTTTTTTGGAAGGCTTTGGACAAAAGAGGGCCTAAAGAATTTTTCTTTTAAGTTAACAATTGTAGAAGAGAACAGAACAGTAGCACAATAGAAAACTGTCAGAATATCAAGTATTAAAAAAGACCTTAGGAAAACTGACAGCCCCATAAATGAATCAGTGAATGGGAAAATAATAAATGAAAGAAAAAAATGAGCAAATGCTTTTGGCTGTCATATAAAAGGAATATGACAAAAAAAATAAAAACAAAGCAAAACAAAAAACTCCTCAAAATATCCTTACATACCATGAGAAAGCAGTGAGTCGGAGTGAGAAAAGCCAGGCAGGGGAAAATAACTTTGAATTCCCAGAGGTTCTCTTCCTCTACTTCTCAGAGTTTCAAGAAGAAAAGAGTGAGAGCCACGTTCATGACCAGATCCAAGTGTCAGTTCTAAGGGTGCCTTGTGGTGGGTTAAAGTGACATTCAGTTTTGTCAGGAAGTCCACGAAACTGTAGAGCAGGTCGGACTGAACTCTCAAGAGATCATTAATTCTGTATTTGCTTTTTCTCCCTCATCTTCATGGATTTAATTATAAATTATTTTTCAGGCCTCTGGCCTCTGTTTTCTTTTCTCAAGCTTATTCCAATACTATAGAGCCCCAAACAAAAAGAGCAAACCTTAATTTCCCACTGTTAAATTTTACAAAAGGAAAAAATGACCAAGATACCACATTCAAAATAAGCAAGCACCCCTGAAAGCAGCTAAGTACTATGGATAGGAATTTTATGAGCCTCATCTTTAGGCAAACAGTGTAATAGATTAAAAATGCCAATAAATTAACTTCCAAGAATTTTAATTAAGAGGAGAAAGATAGTCAGATAAACACTTGGATCACTTACATTATTTAGTGATCCAAAATAGATATGACTTCTTCCTGGAATGGTTTGATTTCCCTTGAAAGTTTTGGCTCAAGGGAGTGGAGGCCAGGGCAACCTGAGGCTGGAGTCAAATGATATTTTTAGTGTCTGTAGACACACAAGGCAGAGAGAGCAAATAATTTCCAGAAGAGAAATCACACTGCATTTGGCTTGGCCATCAGTGGTCCCATATAATAGCAACATCACTCACATGTAACTTTGTTTTAGTGGCAGATATTAAGAAAGATTGTTGCTTGCAATATGATGCTCAGGGCTGTCAAATTCACACATATATGCCCTTTGGTCTGAAAATGATTTTGTTTTTATGGCATCAATTCAGCAGTGCAAAGTTCATAAATTTGTATTAGGAATATCAGGGCCACATTACATCCCAAGAAGAAAGCAAAACCCAGTTACTGAGAAAATGTAGGCACAGCTTCTAATCAATATCTAGCTATAAGTCAGTGGGAATTTTCTAAAAATCAATGTGGATATGGCTCATATTTTGAAAAGATGAGAACCTCAAAGAGATCTGATTCAATATTTAAGATAAAGGTGATTGCCTAAGCAGCCAAAATGACAATGAACTCTAATTGCATCCATGTAGACATTCAATGCACTTATGAGAATATCACCTTGGACTGAACTAGGCAAACTCTGAGGTATGAGCAGGAGAGGTTTCTCTTAGCAAGGGAACTGAATTTGTGCTTAGGAGAAAAAAAGAAGTGTAGCATCATTTACCAAATAAAATAAGAACTACTTGTAGGAGAAGTTTGAAATAAACTAATAAAACACAAAACACAAACCAATCATTTCATTGTAAGAGAAAAATAAGTAGAACTGAAGTCTCAATGCCTGTATCAGAAAAGTCACTGGGGAGCAGGTTTCTTTGTGAATATAGTTTTGGGGCTGAGTATGAAACAGCAAGGAGAGCAGGTAACAGGTGACAGTTACTTGACACTTAGACTTTTTAATGCTCAGTGTTTTGAAAAATAGCTCTTTCTTTAAAAGGATCCAGCAGGAGAATACTGACATCCAACTGTCTAAGTTCTGCTTCTGAAAGAGCCTGAAGACAAAGGGTAGAGCACTCTCTTCCCAGCATTCTATTCCTTTTCTTCATTTTTAAGCCAAGACAGCCAGCTACTGGGGTGAGTATTCATCACCATGGAGCTGCATGTCATCAGAACTGGATTTTGACATTTGGAAAATGTATAGAATATACAGCACAATTGCTCTGGGAATAAAAAAAAAGTATGTTTTGGAGGACCGAGATTCTTGTCCCTGATACAAGACAAATCTAACTATGGTCTCACATGCCATTCCCCTCACTTTAGAGCCAAAGAACTAAGAAGGAGGCTGGCATGATAAGCCTTTTCCCCACCTTAAACAATTGCACATTTTATTCCTAAAGGACAAGACCCATAACTCTTTTTTTAATATTAAATTCTTTTATTGGTACATTGTAGGTATACAACACAATTACATTTCTCATTGGGAATTGTACCTTTACATAATGGATCTTG